AGGATGACTGATGCTCATAATACGCTATTGGCTATCTAAGAATACCTAGCACGTGAATCATCGCCCTGTCCATGTGTTCAGTCAGCAGTCTGATATGTGATGATCACCTGAATGACCGTGTGTGTTCCTAGTACAAATGGGGAAATCTCGTGTAAATGTATGATAGCCCATTTGACATGCTTCTGATAAGCTAGACACTTGACTAGTAACATGTCACCATGGATTACGCTATCCTGATCTCTTTAGATATCTAATTGGATAAGATATAGATCATCTAGGTGCTGGAGATAAGATAGACGCCATGAAATTCTGTGACACAATCAAATTGCACTTTGTGTTTGAGTTGTTGAGCCAGTTCCTCTTTTACCTTCCCTCTGCTTCTACAAGAAGTCAGAGTGTTCAGATGGTCCAAAACAGTCTCATGACACCGTCCTGAGAAAACATAGTGAAGTTGTTGCCATTCAAGTGAGCTATCAGAACTACAAGCCCTCACCCCCATCAGCTTCCCCAAGAAACAGAAACTTACCCTCTACTTTGCACCCCCAAGTTAGGGTTAGGTTTCCTGAGGTCGCATCAATGGTGAAGGCAAGAAGGAGGATGAGGAGGGCTGTGAAGAACCAGCTGAATAGGAGGAGGGTGATGAGGATGGTGACAGATGCCATTAGGGAAGTTGAGGGAGTGTAATTCTTATAAGAGGCTACCCCTTGTTTGGTTGCAGGAAGTCTGCCAAAGTATCTTTGGCATGTGAAAGTTTGGTTTTCAGTAACCAGGAATTGTCTGAGGCCAGGTATCCTTTCTATCACACTCAGTACAGTGTTTGCTTGCCAACTATCTTCAAATCAATGATACGTTCAATTTCAAACTCCTCCTGGTTCTTGATTAGTTCCAGTGATGGTCAGAGGTAGTTCTTCCCATGCATTGTTGTTTCCAAATAAGGATAGAGTAGTCCTGCATGAAACACTGGGTGTATCTTCCATTTAGGCAGTAATTTCAAGTGGTAGATGACTGATGACAGCTTCTGATCAATGGTGAAGGGACCATAGCACTTTGGCCCAAGTTTTGCCTTTGGGTGGAGTCCTTTGAGGTTAGTGGCTTCCAGCCATACCTTTTGTCTGGGCGTATATTCAACAAACTTCTCCTTATTGTGTTTCTTGACTGTTTCTTCTACTAGTCAAATACTGGATTGGATTTCCATGTGAAGGTGTGCTAGCTAAGTAAGTCTTGAAGCGATATCAGGAGTGTCCGTTGTTCCCACAGTGGGAATATTGTGCTGAGGTTGGTAACCCATGAGCGCTTGGAAGGGAGATGTCTTAATTGCATCATGATATCTATTGTTATGTGCAAATTCTGCTAGCAGTAGATGATGTGTCCAGTCTGTTGCTCGGTGATTGCAAAAGATCCAAAGATACAATTCCAGGTCTCAATTGACACATTCTGATTGTCCATTGGTTTGAGGATGGAAGGCACTTGAGATATTCTGTTTGATACCCAATTTGGCACATAGCTTTCTGAACATTTGTGATGCAAATTGTGGTCCTCTGTCAGAGATAGCTTTGACAGATAATCCAAATCATCAGAAGACATGGTTCTGATACAGGGTGGCAGTTTCAGATGCAGTGACTGTCTTGTTGCAGGGTGTGAATACTGAAGCCTTGGTACAGTCATGATTGGTTACTACCAGATAGCTGTCAGAGCCATTGCTCTGAGGAAGATCTGTGATGAAATCCATGGCAATGGATTGGAATGGAAGGTGATGTTCTGCTGAGATGGGAACTAGATCCAGTGAATTCCTATGTGTGATGACCTTGTTTTCTTGGCAAGTTCTGCAACCAGTGATGTATTCACTGACATCACACACAAGGGTGGGCCACTAATAGGTTCTGTTAAGGGACCTAACGACTGAGGATCAGGAGTTCAACTGTTTAACTGATACTGGAACTTATACATGCTAATGTCCTATTGAGACTGAGACTAGACTTATAGACTGAGCCGCTATAGCTGATAGTGGTTTGAGAACGTATACTGGTTGAAGCAATGCTTT